AAACATGTCAAACATTTATTTAGCACATTAGTGAAGGAAACAGGGGTGGCTCAACTCAGTTCCAGTTTCCAGCGGAAACAGGAAGGGCCACCAAGCATAAACATCAAAAGTGTGTTCTTTAGAGTATGTATAAACCACCTCCCAATTCACTCAAGCTCAGAAATAAACAGTGAGAACAACAACATGGCCAATGTTTAGTCTTTAAGACACAGGAAGTCCTGTCTCACTGTATGGTGAGCTCTCAGTCTTACAGAGATGTTAATTGACTCTGTAAGCTTCGTTGCTAAGATCAACACAGGGAGAGCCATTCCATACTGAAAACCAACTCAGTCAGAAATTAACTTAAGTAAACATTCATCAACAATGTCAAAAAGTCTCTTTTATTCCAGATATCTAAAAATTGTTACTTTCGGTTGTCTTAGTCTGAGCCTAAGGAATTAGAGTCAAGAAATTTATCTCAATAAAGTTCTTTGTCGTTTCTACAAGTTAGGGTAAATTCTTTTCTCCTCATTGTCTCTAAAATATGAAGTTTTGGGCCTGCCAAGTGAGAAATGAATGATTTGCAGTCAGCTCCCTGAAACATATCAGAGCAGTTCTCAGGGACAATTTTAAGGGCATCGAGTTTGTTATCCAGTACATTTGGTTTTTCACAGTGGGTCAGGCAGAACTAACAAAATGGTATTTACTCCTAACACACAGCACACACAGAAATGATTTTGGTCACACCAGTAATTTGATAAAAACAACAGCAGGGCGGGCTGGGTGGTGGTGGTCTGTGCTTTTAATCCTGGCACTCAGGAGGCAGAAGCAGGCAGATCTCTGTAAGTTTGAGGCCAGCCTGGTCTACAAATTGACTTCGAGGACAACCAGGACTGTTACAAAGAGGAAACCTTGTCTCAAACACACACATACACACACACACACACACACACACACACACACACACACAAAACAACAACAACAGAAAGCAAGCACAGTTGCAGATTCTTTTGTGACTGTGTGTTGAAATGTAGTTATCACTTTGTTAAAAAGCAGGAAGACTTTGTTAAAAAGCAGTAACACGCTGGTCCTGAATACTGAGGCCTCTAGAAAAATGAGTTTCTAGTTATAAGTGTCTTCTTTCAGTTTGCAGAGGCACAATTCACCAAACTGAGTAGGGAGAGAGCTAGAAGAAAGAAAAGAGGCTTTCTATGCATTCGTCAAAAAGAAAGACCATGTGAAAAATAGTATCGAGTTATATTTCTCACTCATATTTAAATCTAAATCCTAAGATAGCAATTCATTTTCATTCTTTCAAGGAAAACATCAAACAAATAAAAATAATGCCATTATGTGGTACTCCAGTAGACACTTCCATTGTTTTCCAGTTTGACACGATTAGATATCATAACATATTCATCCATCAGAAAAAACTCAGTCATAGTATCCATTTGTGGTTTTCTCTTCAGTCTAGGTACTGTGTATTTCCTGTAAACTCTAGATGAAAAGGAAAGCTCTGGAACCTTGTGAAAGGGACTGTGTTTTAGGCAGGATCTTAAAGAACCACTGGCTGTCCTCAAGATTTCCTCTAGGGACTGCAGAGATGTAAGGACTTCCCACATCAATCACCAAGCCTGGTGAGCTATAAATCACACAGAACCCAGACAGATGGTAGAAACAGAAAACCAAGTCCCATAAGTTGTCTTCTGACCTCTACTGGCATCTACTCATGATATACCAATGTGCATGCCCCAATGACAAAATAAATGAATTAGTATAATAAAATGCTTTTAAAAAATCAAAATTGCTGGGCAGTGGTGGTGCATGCCTAGGCGGATCTCTGTGAGTTTGAGGCTAGCCTGGTTACAGGACAGCTAGGGCTGTTACACAAAGAAACCCTGTCTCAAAGAAAAAAAAACAAATCAAAGCATCTGCCTTCTGAGTACTGGGATTAAAGGTGTGTACTACCACCGCCCAGCACACACCTGAATTTTTAAAACTAGTATAATTTCTTTTTTAGATTTACTTATGATTCTATCTATAAATTTGATTCTTACACGCACAGTCTTCTGATTTGTTGGTTTCTGTGAGAAACCACTTACTTTTTTTTTTTTTTTGGGAATTCTCAGAATTTGTGTTTATCTAATTGTTTATCCTCAATAATGTGACTAACCCAAAGCCCTGCTCTCTTAAGAAATGTTGTAGCAATCACTTTAATGCTTTCCAAAGCTATGAAAATTGTTTGTCAATGAGGGCTAGGGATTTCCACTATCATAGACACAGAGAGCTTCAATCTCTGGCTGTCCACTTTCTGCTGTCGGTCACAGCATGGAAACCCTCATGCTCTAGTCTTGAGCTCAAGGAGGTAGTCTCTTCCAGAGGAAATGAATGCTTTTCTTTTTGATTTGTGCTTGCAAATAGACAAACATACAAGAGACGAGATTTTTCTACTATCTCTTACTTGACAGAAAACACCATCATGTACTTGACTGGAATGGGCAGACCATGACCAAACTTTAAACCTTTGTAGCCACAGTGGATAATACATCACTGGCTGTGCAATAGCCACACATGTATGCAGTGAGAACAGTCATTTTTCATCCTCCCTAATGTGGTGTGGGGACCCCCAAGCATAAAATCATTTCCATTGCTACTTTATAACTTGCTTTGCTACTGTTATGAGTCATAATATAAATATTTGTGCTTTCTGGTGATCCTAGGCAACCCTATGATAGGGTTGTTTAACCCCAAAGGGGGTCACGACACACAGGTTGAGAACACTGTTAAGGCAGCTACTTTCTTAATCAGTTCAAAATAGCTTTGTCGTTCTAATGCCGATGTAGTTGGATGTGGGATCCAAAGACTTGTGAGATAAAGACTTCTTCATAGAGTCTGATGCTATTGGGAGGTGACCTGAGCTTTAAGAGGTCAGGCCTAGCAGAGGGAACTTGAATATTGGGGATGTTCCCTCAAAGAACGATGTTCCTTTAGGAAGTGATTCAGAGATGAGCTGGGTGCCCATCCAAGGTGGTTGAAAAAGAAAATCAAAGTCCTTTTAGAACCAAGGCGTACCAAGTAGGCCCATAGGAACAAGTGGGACACTCAAAACAAATGCAGGCTTTACACTTGGGCCTGTTCTTTGTCCCCTGGCTTGCTTGGGGTTCCCTAAGAGGTAAGCAACTTTGCACAACAGGTGTTCCCTTCATGATGTTCTGATTCACCAAAGGCCCAAAGCAACAAGGCCAAATGACTCTCGGCTGAAACCTCAGGCCAAAATAAGACCTCCTCTATATAAGTTCATGATCTTTGGACAATGTTGTCATGGTTGTGGAAATAGGAGTAACACAGAGAGCCAGTCATTTCTGTATCTGTGTGGCCCAATTAAGGAAAGGCAGAGATGGACTGGCACACTCTGCCAAGAAACAGAAAGAAGCAAAAGGACAGATGAGAAAACGAGCAAACCCAAGAAATGCAGGCTTGACTGCAGTAAAGTTCTAGTGTAGCTTGGGATTCTCACAGGACACAGGAAGAGAAGTGTTTGGTTTAAACAGTTCTGAGTTTCACATCTTGTAATCGGCCATCGTTAGTCATGGCTGAAGAGTCTCTTTGGGCACCCTACAGTGGCAGCTTCCAAGAATGGTGAGGCATAACGAAAAAATTGTGGTAAAACCTGGCTTTCATATAACTATCAAGAGGGTCTCAAAGAGATGGGACTTGCCATTGAAGAAAGTAACTGATAAATGTGTTTCAAAAGTAACCATCATCATCACCACTGTGTCTGCCCATGTGTATGATATATGTCGGGCCATGATATGTGTGTGGATGCGTGTGCAGAGCACAGATGTGGCGGGAGGAGGTCATTCCTCCCACTGTTATGTGAATACTGGGGACCCAGCTCATGCCGCCAAGCCTGTACCCCTTACTTGCTGAGCCAAATGTGATTTTAAGAGCGCACAAGGAACTCAGCAGTAAAAAAACAAGGACTTCTTGAAGTTTGCAGGCAAAATGGATGGAAATAGAAAACACTATCCTGAGTGAGGTAAGCCAGACCCAAAGAGAGGAACATGGGATGTACTCACTCATATTTGGTTTCTAGCCATAAATAAAGGACATTGAGCCTATAATTCGGGTTCTTAGAGAAGCTAAATAAGAAGGAGAACCCAAAGAAAAACATATAGGCATCCTCCTGAATATTAACCTTCATCAGATGATGAAAGGAGACAGAGACAGAGACCCACATTGGAGCACCGGACTGAAATCTCAAGGTCCAAATCAGGAACAGAAGGAGAGAGAGCACAAGCAAGGCTCAGGACCGCGAGGGGTGCACCCACACACTGAGACAATGGGGATGTTCTATCGGCAACTCACCAAGGCCAGCTGGCCTGGGTCTGAAAAAGCCTGGGTTAAAACCGGTCTAGCTGAACATAGCGGACAAAGAGGACTACAGAGACCTCAAGAACAATGGCAATGGGTTTTTGATCCTACTGCACGTATTGGCTTTGTGGGAGCCTAGGCAGTTTGGATGCTCACCTTACTAGACCTGGATGGAGGAGGGTGGTCCTTGGACTTCCCACAGGGCAGAGAACCCTGATTGCTCTTTGGGCTGACGAGGGAGGGGGATTTGATTGGGGGAGGGGGAGGGAAAGGGGAGGCGGTGGTGGGGAAGAGACAGAAATCTTTAATAAATAATAAAAAAAAAGAGCGCACAAGGAGGCACTCAGTAAATGAAAGAATGTTGAAGTAAGATGGCTAGATCAGATACAAAAGTGATTCATGTCCTTAGGGCCAGTCCTTTCTACTAGACAAACTCTTTACATCTCTGCCTAATAAAAATCCTCAAGTTAAAGCCAAGTGTGGTTACATACTTGGGAGGCCAAAGTCGGAGCACTGGCACTAGTTGAGACCAGCTTGGGCTGCACGGTACCAGGTTACATAACAAGACTTTACTCAAAAGAAAAAAAAAAGTATAACTCCAAAGGTTACCATGTGACTTTACAATCTGCGTTGTTTTTCTTTTTTAGCCAGTTTCCTTGTTTAGTCGGCATGCATTCGCTGAACACAGTACTGCATTCACAGATCCACGGTGAAGAGTGCATGGTCAAGAAAGGCCATAACTGCCGCAGAGGTAAATTATCATTCGCTGAACCTGTTAGATGATGCTCCATTTGGTAATGGAAGAACACACCATTCTTTTTGCTTTATAGCCAAGGCTTCAAAATCTTTCTTAGCAATTTTAGACATTTATAAACAGGAATTCTGTGTCTTCAAATTAGCCCAAGTACTAATATTTCTTTGACAGAAGATCTACACTGTTTATCAGAAGCTTATCTTCAATCTGAATGTCAGCTGTCACCAGCCAGGTGATGCCAAAATGAAATTACTTAAAGTCACCGAGGTCAAGATTAGAGAGCTAGCCATAGCGTTAGACAGGAATCCAACCGATGCACTATCAACTCTGGGTGCAGAGAGAGTGTTTGAACACATCCCTTTTTACAGGGGATAATGTAGAATACAACTTGAGTTCAGGGAAACTCAGGGATGTCCCGACATGTTAGAAGAGGTGATTAAACAGGCCATGGAACTGGCTTCTAGGAGCCCTAGGGTGAGAAAAATTCTGAACAGAAGCTGAAAGAGTTTGAGAAACACCAAGATTAAAGAACCGCAGCCAATTAGTGTACACAGCCCCAGGGGACCAAAAGCTGGGGAACAGCCTCCTCTCTGGAACCTACCTGGAGGATGACCGGCTTGGAAAATGCAGTGACCAACCTCTGTGACCCACAAAGGTGTGTGCTTATGGTAGCTTGTGGCAAAGCTAGCCACAACCAGATCTTTACTCCCAAATACCTTGGGGCAACACAGTTTATGAGAGGACTAGAACTGAATAATGTAAGACTATTCATGAGCTCAAATTAAGCAATTATATGTCTGAACCCCACTACTGCCTTAGCAAGATGGGTGACTCAGCCAAATGTGGGCTGTTTAAACAGATCCCGGAGCATTTATACCCAGGGCTGGAGAGGTGAATAAAACTGTAACATAGGACAAAAAAATTCACGAAGCCGTTCCTCAGATTTCAGGCTTAACCAAGAGGTAAGCCTGCACTGGTATGCATTTTTGAGATCCCAGGTTTTTATTTGTTTTCCTTTTATGTATGACTTAAGATGTATTGGTATATTAATGGTATTTAGATGTATTGATATATTAATGGTATTTAGGTTCTGTTTTAAAGTCCATGCTATAAAAAATTAAATAGACATAAACCGGCCATGGTGGCACACGCACATGAGAAACAAGACCCTCACTCTGTGATAACAAATCGGAGATTAGTGGAAATGAAACCCTTTTTAATATACCATCGGTCAGAAGGAACACTGGCACAGAAAAGACAAAATGGCTCTTGTGTTGATTTGGTGTAAGACAGTGGTCTTTAAAGTTGCCAATCGTGGGAACTTCCTTCTCTCTTTTCTCCAAAGGCTGGTACTCTAGAGAGGGGCAACCTTTGCGTTCTTCTAGAACAGCCCCTTCCCAAACTCCCCATTCTACTTGTTCAGCCTTATCTAAAGAACATTCTGGAGCTTGAGGATGCTACTTCTCCTTCCTTCCCTTTTCTCTTTTTATTGTGGGCTCAGTTCACAGCATATGGCCTGCAAACTTCTAACACTCCTCAGACAGCCGGATAACAGACACCAGCTGGGGCAGAGAGGGGCCTGCGCCTTCTGCTCATCTGTGACTTTTTGATGGGCTCTAAGTGCACCTCGTACTGAAAATGGACCACAGAGATTCTTTCTTACTTATGTATGATGCCAGCATTCCAGAAATGGAAACAGGAGGATTAGGACTTCTGGATCATCCTCAGTGACAGAAGTTCAAGGTGAACCTGGCCTACATAAAACCCTGTCTCAAAAACACACACACACACATATACATCCATCCATCCATATATACACACATACATATACACATATATGTATATACATATCTATGCACATATGAGATATATGTGTATAGCCCAAAAATGGACAAAGGATAAGAGACCCCTAAACAAGAACAATGGGAAACATTATTAGTCGAGGGAGGCTGCACAATAGGAAAGCACGAGCCCGCTCATCTGGCAATGCATGTAGAGAGAAGCTGTGTACAGGCGGCGTTGTTTTAGCGGGGTTTGAAGAGTGAAATACCACTAAGAAACATGGAAAGGAACATGCTCGTTACACTTGGTTAATAACAGCAGCAGAAAACCCTCAGCCAATGTTCATAAATGACTTATGTCCAATAATACTCTGGAATCTCAACTTTCGGGAAGTTCAAAGGGAAATACTCTAGGGTCACCCCCAAAGCTTCCCCAGATCTCTCTGTATTCACAAAATGACCAGTGTTTACTGTCACACAGGGGAAATCCACGTCCTTCTCCAGCCACTTCGCCGTGTCCCCATGATGCCTGCTTAATGCCATCTTATTTACATTCCCCTTCCAGGTCTACGTAGTACTTCAATAGTGCTTCACCGTGAGCTGGGGACCTCGTATGCAAATGCTTGCCAGTTGGGTGTTTGTGCCCGATTGTGACAACAGGCCAGCTGTGCAGAAAGCTAAGGCTTTCCATTTGTATTGTGTGTTTGGCCTTGAGTCCCATGTTAATTCTTGACAAAAACAAATATCTGGATATGGCATCACATGTTTCTCACTGGCATAAGACCAAAGATACTTAAATGCGAAAGAAAAGTTAGTCCTGAAGCATGATTATGGCACATTTTACCCTGGCATTCAGTAAGAGTCACGCTACAAATCTTGTAGAGATTGTCAACTTGACCTGCATTCCAGGGACATTTTTCTTTACCTTAGAAAGAAAATTAGTGGATTGGTGAGGTGGCTCAATTGGGAAAGTACTTGACATGCCATAATAAAAACCTGAGGTCTGATGACAAGCACCCACTTAAAAATGCCAAACAGCAAAGGCCTGTAATCCCAGTGTTTCAAAGCGGAGGCAGGAGGACTCCTGAGGTGCACTGGCCAGCCAGTTTTGCCCAGCTCGTGAGTGAGTTCCAGGTTCAATGAGAGACAGTCTTTAACAACAACAGGAAAAAGGTGTGGGGATTGAGAAAGACACACAGGTTTGATCCCTGACATCCACTTGTATGTGTACTTGCCATGTACAGCCTCACACATTCATGCACCCAGAGAAAGAAAGGGAAATAGTCAATGTTTGACAATCAGATTAAAATTGTTCTCCTCAGATGAGTAACTCTTGGCAACTCTTAGTTTCCTGTAAACACTGTTTTAGCTTCACACCCAATTCTCATATTATAGATTTTATTGATATAAAATTTAAGTACTTTCTTACTTACCTATCATTCATTTTATTCACTATGGAAAACTATATTAATTTCTAAGTACTTAATATTTTTCTAAATATCTTGTCTAATAATTCCTAGAATGTAATTAGAAACTATAGCACCTGTTTTCAAAGCCCTTGAACGTGGTGAGGTTTGCTTCCTAGACCAGAATATGGCTGTCTTTACGAATACACCATGTGTCCGTAAAAACATATTGGTGTCTTGCTCTATAAATGTCAAGTAGGTTATGGTGGGTTCCAGTATCATACGGATCATCTATTTAATTTTAATTTTTTTTCTTTTACTGTTTGCTTTTGTCTAGTCCAGTAGAACCACAGGGAATATATCTCCCTGGTTTTGACCCCATAAAGTTCTATGTTTTAAAGAGAAGATGAAAATAAACTAACAAACACAAATCAAAAACAAAACAACAAAAGGGAGGGGCTAAAGGAAAGAGGGAAGGACCCCCCCTGTAACTATCTCCAGGAGTGTAGAATAAAGAGCGAAAGAAATGACTCACTGATTCTGCATTGGAAAGTGACATTCTGGTTTTGTGGTTCTGGCTTTTTTTTTTTTTTTTCTTTGTAAGAAGCAGGCACTGGAACATGTTTACTTGACGACTGAATGCAACAATCAGGAAAAAAAAAAAAAAGAACCTCAAACGAAAACTATTAGGAGCAACCCCACACTTCAGCGTTCAAGGGAGGATTCCCTCCAGGGACAGGAATGTGGGTGAGGATGAGAAAGCCTCTCGCCCTCCCTGAGGCACCTTTAGCATCAGCAATCACACTTTCCTCCCTCCCCTTCCCAAGGAAGGTGAGCCGCTGCCTCTTGTTCTGCCCCATCAAGAATAAACACATTCCGTTTGGCGCTTCTGTAGGCTTAAGGCAAGGGTAACTGACTCAGTTATCCTCAGGAGCTGCCATGGTATGGGCACGCGATGTCATCATTCTACTCTGTGCATGACTATTAAGTGACTCAGACTGCTCATTCGCTTCTCTCTCTCTCTCTCTCTCTCTCTCTCTCTCTCTCTTATCTAGCCTCTGTCCTGGCATATAGAAGCGTGGAGCAAAGACCCGCAGGGTGCTGTGTTTTGGTTCCTGCTTGGCTGTGTTGACTTCTGCTCTTGGGGTCCTTGTGTTGGGTCCAAGTGTTGGGTTTATTTTGACCCGATGGCTGCCCTTGTCCTGATTCCAGGCTTCTCTATTTATGTTCGCCGGCTCTCAACAACCTCCGGAAACTTCTGGCAAAAGATTCTACACAGAAGTAGGGATACTGCTAGCCTCCTCTCACCAAGAACCCAGCTCTGCTTTATAATGTCATGGCTCCAAACTGCCTTGCCTTGAAAGCCTCAGGGCAGGGCACAGGTACTCCAAAGTTCTCAAGGTATCCCAGGGTTACCTGAACTTTTCTGTCATTTCTCTTTGGAAGAGGAAAGAAGAGGTTCTACATAGAAGAGATTATCCCCCTGGCTTCTGACCGTTTTTCCTTATATTTTGCTTCTTCCTTTCTGGCAAGCACTTGGATTCAGCTATGGCCTCTTTCTTGAGATAGCACACGGGTCTGTGAGCTTAACCTTAAGGTATTGTGTTTTCTACTTATTGGAGGAAAGCAATATGATATAGGGGAACCAGGCATGTGCTCTAAATGCGTGTCCCAGCATTATTGGGTCCTGCAAATGACAAAGCATGAAGGCATATCTTGTGCCAATCACAGACTTTCTGTGACAGCTGTTTCAGTGTCCAGCATCCGGGAACACACTTGCTTTTAGCATCAAGGTAGAAATGTGTACTGT